GGTTTTGACAACTGATGCACCATTTAAACAGTGGCAAAAGGATATATCTAAGTTTGTATGGCAAGGGAAGAAACCACGAGTTAAATATAAGGTGTTACAAAATGCAAAAGAAAGAGGAAGATTGGGTTTACCTGATTTGAAATTGTATTTTGCAGCTTGCTGTTTGGTTTCGATAAAAGAGTGGGTGTTGCTGAGAAATAGAAGATTTTTAGAGTTAGAAGAACATGATCTGAGATTTGGGTGGCATGGATATTGTGGTACGATAAAGTCAAGGTTAATGTAGATTTTAAAAATCACTATGTTAGATGTGCCATATTGAAAATATGGAATAGATACAAATCCAGGTTGCACCCAAAAACACCTTTGTGGCTTTCAACACCAGAAGCATTTTATAGATGAGAAATAATAGGCAAACACAAATGGCTAATGTACCATGAGATACTAGAATTCTGTCAAGGGGAATACAAAATAAAATCAAGAGAACAACTGATTGCAGAGAGACACAGCTGTCAATGGTTTTCCTATTTATAGTTATCAGAAAGATTCAAAGTAGACAAAAGAATTTACGTTATTGAATACTGTAAGACTGACTTTGAAACAAAATTGTTTACAAGTGATGAACATATGATGCTAAAATGTATAAACTTTTATTGAAATTTGAAAGAGAAGAAGAACAAGTGAAAGAATGTATGATAAAGTGGGCCAAAAATTTTGGTTATAATATACAGATGAAACAATGGGAAAATATGTTGGTTGAAAGGATTAAAATTTACACTATGTTATAATCTTAAAGAGAACTTTTATAAATGATGTAGCGTTGGTATATGACACCAGAAAAATTATCTAGAATGTATAAAGGTACTTCAGATGATAAAGTGGGCCAAAAATTTTGGTTATAATATACAGATGAAACAATGGGAAAATATGTTGGTTGAAAGGATTAAAATTTACACTATGGTATAATCTTAAAGAGAACTTTTATAAATGATGTAGCGTTGGTATATGACACCAGAAAAATTATCTAGAATGTATAAAGGTACTTCAGATCTATGTTGGAAATGTGAACAACAAGAAGGGTCATTTTATCATGCCTGGTGGACATGCAAAAAAGCTAGATTTTGGGTTCAAATGCATACTCTGATTTTAAAGATTAATATGCAACTGAAACTAAAACTTTTCCTCTTGGGACTGATGGATAAACAGTTGGAAAAAAGTCATGGAACTTTGTTTTTATATATGATAACCCCAGCAAGATTATTGTATGCGCAAAGGTAGAAAGATTGGGCAATACCTACAACAGAGGAATGATGATGAAAATGACAGAACTTGCTGCAATGGCCAAACTGACCTGTTTGATTAGAGAAAAGACAATGTTCTACATTTATTGCTGACTGGAAACCTCTTATGGACTTTTTGCATAAAACAGAAAAAAATGAACTTATGATCTATGGTTTTGACTATTAGATAGCACAGACTATAAAAAGAAGAGAGTCACCCAAACTGACCTGTTTGATTAGAGAAAAGACAATGTTCTACATTTATTGCTGACTGGAAACCTCTTATGGACTTTTTGCATAAAACAGAAAAAAATGAACTTATGATCTATGGTTTTGACTATTAGATAGCACAGACTATAGAAAGAAGAGAGTCACAATATAACTTCAGAGAAAGAGGTAAATCTGCAATTGTATTTATAACTGCCGTAAAGAAGATCAGAAGCCACTTCTTTATATCTTTTTTCTTTCTTTTCTATTTTTCTTCTACTTCTTTCTTTTCTTTTTTATTTTTGCACTTTAGCTTTCTCTTTTATTTCTTCCTTTTTCCCCCTTCTTACTCTACTTTAGTTTGTATTAATTTTTACTCTTGTTTTTAAAACTTTCAATAAAATTATATTTTAAAAAAAGGAATCAAATCATGTGCAAATGGCAAGTTGTCACCAGACATATAAAGGGCAGTAAGCAATAGGAACACCTGATCCATCAGCACTGTCAATGTTGTTGTACATGGTAAAGACCCAGTATGCATTGCATTTTTTTTCAATGACATAATACTGTATTTTCAATGTTGCAAATCTTATGTTGTAAATACTGCCCATTCCTGGAGCCATTGGATGAGAATATGATGACATATAACTTAGTTACATCTTCATTGGACTACTGTAATACACTCTGCATGGGGCTGCCTTGCAAAAGTGCTCAGAAAGATCTAGTAGTTCAGACAGCGGCAAACACATCACTGACTGGTGTCACTTAGAGGGAACAACCTCCTTGTTAAAACAACTGTCAAGTATGTTTCTAGGCATAATTCACACTCTTGATGATAACCTATTAAGCCTGAGATGGCTTGTAATCACACCATTCCAAAAACCCTGTTCTCCTTTACAACCCTGCCCATGCTTGAGACCCACTTCTCAGCCTTGCCTCCATCAAAGCTGCTCTCTTTCATCCATTACTTGGTTCTAACCATGGCAGAGGACAGTTGATGGAAACAGAAACAAAAAGGCTTTTTCAGTGGCCTGTGGCACTCTTTGCCCTGGGAAACTAAGTCAGTATATTCATGGATTGTCTTTCACAATATGGTAAAGAGCTTCTTGTTTTTTTTTTATTACTCTTATTTGGAAGTGCAAATTATAACTGATGCCTATTTTCGATGGTGAATTTGCCTGTTCCTATCATACTATGTTATTTGATGTTCAGGAGTCCAAGGCAGCATACCTAGCATTTCCTTTTCCATTTCTTTTTGCTTTTTTAACTTTGCAAGTGGTAGACAGACACCAAAGGGATGTGGTGTTTCAATGCATGTATGAGCAAATGTGTGTATATATGTGTGTTGCTATGTATATAAATATCCTTCTTTTAACTTTCTTCCTCCCTGGAATACCCTAGGCATCTTTTCTAGAATTACCTGTGTGAGAGTAGATGAGAAAAAATGTCTCTATTTAAAGGAAAAGCCTCCTTTACCCATGGAGGGCAGTGGCCTTGTAGCTGAGAAACAGAACTCCTGCTCTGCAGTGCAGAATCTTGGGCATTTCTAGTTTGAAGGATCCTGGAGAGGGCCAGCCAAGGAGAGCTCTTGCATAGGAACACTGGAAGTACTTTCAGACATTCAGAGAGAAGCTCGAGGCCCAGTTGGTCCCCCCTGCAGGCTCTGAAAAGAAGGTGGAAGTCGTCATAGTGCCAGTATATGATTTTGCTCCCACCTCCCACCCCATCCTGCCAGGCTGTCCCCACCCTGATGCTGCCCCCTATAGTATTGGCAAGGAGCCTTGTGCCACTTCTGCCGACTGCAGTGGGAGGGGTGGGTGACAGGCAAAGCTTTGGACTCTGGCCTTGGGCGCCTCAGCACTTGGAGAGGAACTGGCCTGTTATCTGTTACACTTTGTTCTCCTGCCTGTTTGGGTGTGGAGCAGCCACAGTGCACGGAGGCGTTATCTCTGGGAACCTTTGAAACATAAGCAGCCAGCAGGATTCTGGGTTCCCTCTGCCCTGAATGGGGGTGAATGAACCTTGTGTCCCCTTCCCTATGCCAGGATGCAACAGAGAACCTGTTCTCACCCTTATGTCTTGCTGGGGAAAAACCGTTTCTTAGCCTTTCTTGGTGGGGAAGTGCATGTGTTCAGCGCTTGGGAGCTCTTGCTCCCAATGCAAGGGTCCTCTTTCTGGAACTGAAGAAGCTAGGCCCTTCCCAAGGTAAGCTTCAGTTCCATTTCCATATTGGAAATGGAAAGCTCTTTGGAGTCCAGTGAGTTTGCCTAAAAGCGGAGGATGGTGTTCCCAGAGCTCTTTGACAGTGAGAGCCATTACGCTGATTACAAAAATAAACAAAAGAAGCTGCTTGATATTGTACTACTGTTTTTTTAATTCTTTGGTCCACTGTTTTCTACTTTGACTGGCAGCCTGCTCTTCGAGATTGCAAGCCCAAAAGGCTAATTCCCATCTCTTGGTACCAGAGTTGCTTTTAAGTGAAAATAACAGGGCATCTATTGCATGTGGAACATGGATGTTCCATGGAGTTAGGGCCTGTATCTGATCTTGACTCTTAAGTATTGCAAAGTCACCCCTGAGTTGCCTTTCTTATTATAGACACTGGTACTACAGCAACGCCAGCAACGTTTCAGCAAGCACATTTTTCGTCAGGTGTAGATGAAATGTAGTGCACTTGTTTCCTGCGTTCTATAATCCAGTTTGTAGCCTCCACCCCGCACGCCATCTCCTCTTTTGTTTTTCAGACTTTGCCCCAAGCCTGCTGCCTGGGAGATGGACACTTGTTCACGTCTAACCTGAAACAGCTGTATGTGGCAGTGACCCAGCAACAAGCCAGAGCAGCTTGCAAACGGCACCAGGCAGGTGAGTGGATCAAGTGTGGGAAGGGTGTGTCTGCTCTGCCAGCATCCCTTTAGAAGATAAGCATACTTCTCTCAAGTGACCACAGAGGCAGAAATAAATTAATTCAGGTGATGTTGCCCTGTCATCTGACTAACAGAAAGAAAGCCATCTTTCTGTCAAGAGTTTCTCATAAAAAAAAAGTTCATTCCGTTATCTGTACAACAATATTATGGCTACATGAGCCATGTGACAAACTTGTTACACACTTGTTGAGCACTGCTGTACTCTGCTCAACACTTTCAAGAGAACCAAACAACTTTTGATGCTCCTAGTTCTCTTCTTCCTGTTCTCCCTTACCATTTCTCCATGCAATTTCTATCCATCTCTTGACGGTACGTATTCTGGCTCATGAGCAGCTAATTGGACATCTTCCAGATTGTGGTAGTTATAATCCCAAACAAGTGGAGAGCACCAAGTTGCTTGTCCTTGCTTAAACCACTGTGATTACTGCTTTGATGACTTCCAGCTTAGCCTACCATGAAGCCCTCTCTGGCATGAAAATGTTTGGTTGCCAAGTGTGTGTCCAGATCCTTCTTGCTTTTGCTATTTTAAAGTTTAGACTTCTCCGTGTGACATACTGTCATGGTTAGGATGCTTAAGGATTTTGTTCAGTACATGTTTGGAAGTGACCTGACTTGATTTTCATCACCGGAAGCAGTGTATGAATCAGAATGCAAATATCATAGTAGTAGTTCCACATTACTATGAATTTCACAATGCAGTTTTTGCAATTTTAGCTTTAAAAATGTCTCCTTCTGGTCAGACTCAGTTCTTGGTGATGTCATGCTCACATCCATGTAATATTCTTAAAAGTAATATTGAATGGTTTGACACTGCCTTCTTTGGGAATGCTTCAATTAGCCAGCCTAGCTTATAGCCCTAGGGTTTGGTGGTGGTCTTCCATCCAAGCACTACCCAGATCTGATCCTGTTTCTCTTTTTGGGATCAGTCTAAGTTGGTTAGATGTTGACAATAAAATTGCTGGGCAATTTTATCATTAATTAAGATGTATATGAAAAATATTTATTTTATGATAAAATGTATATAAAATATATACATTTATCTGTGATTTAAACACACACAACACACAAACAGACACTGAAAGATAAAAGCAGAAACAGAATGGAATGGAGTTCTGAATAATGCATGCAAAACTCTCAGAAAAAAGAAGATACTCTTTACTAAATAGGTCTAAACAGGAGATTATCTGTCTTCAGAACTGAAAGAAGGATATATTTCTTGTTTGCTCCCTCTCCTGAAGAACACTGGGTTCTTGTTAAAAGTGCTAAAACCATGTTTTGTTCTTTAGCAACTGGTTTTGGCATTATACATAGATTGATGGAGTAGGCCACCTCTTATCCTTTAGGCGCTGGTCTGTAACTTGTGCCAAAGCATTAAGGCTCACACAGAATTTTATGGCTTTCATGGCAGTTGTGAGTCTGTCTCTGCCACTGAATCAATGCATAGAGTGGAAGATACCCTCCGGTCTTGAGGGAATGGCCTGCAAATTGGAGAGTTATGGAGTTATAATCCTGCATGAACCCTCTCTGCAGTCCAGTCCAATGTACCTCTGTTTTTGTGCTTGTTGAGAGGGTGATATCTGTGCAGCTGCAGACATTTTTAAGGGCAGTGATTATTTCAACCCTTCCCAGTCTTGGTTCTGGGGATTCTGGGACAGAATCAGCCATGGCTGTCATGATAGATGACCTACTGCAAAAGAAAGGCAGGGCACATGGCTCTCTTGATTTTGATCTTTGATCTCTCAGCAACTTTTGGTATCATTGACCACTGATAGTGCCTGCACGAGGACACTGTGTTTCATACTTGTGGAGATGGTCTCAGAGAGTATAGTAAATGAATTTGCCTCTGCATTTTGACAACTGTGTGTTGCCACAAGGCACCATTTTTGTCCCCAGTGTTATTTAATAACTACTGTATATGAAGCCACCAAGGGTAGGCAACAGGAGTTTTAGGGCCAAATGTTTCCAGTATGCCAATGAATCAGCATGTTCTGAACCAATATCCAGATGCAGTGATGGAGTGGATGACAACTTAAACTTGGCAAGACAGAGGCCCTTGTGTGTAGTTAGGTCCCAAGTTTGGGAATTGGGCTTTGCCTGTTTGGGTAGGATTATAGTCCCTCAGAAACAATAGTTACTATAAGTAATATAGGGTGCTTATTGTCACTGGAGGCCCAAGTGGCTAGAGCACCTATGACCAGGTTTGGTAGTATACCGACTGTACCCCTTCCTGAATAGGGCTAACCTAGGGTGGGCGGTCTTCACTCTGAAAACGCTTTTTCCTGAAATTTCTGAAGTACGTGTTAAAGACCTGTCTTTTCACCTAGGACTTTCCTGAAACAAAGCTGTATGTATGATTTAGGTTTTCTTTTCTTTCACTTTTTAAATTGAATATATCATTTTTATATTTTATACTGCTTTAATCTATCGTTTAGATTTGGAATAAATGAAAAGCAGTATATACATATTTCAAATCATTCCTTTAGTTTCAGGAAGCATGGTCAGTGATCTGGGAATATGGCAGTGTACTTCAAGGCATCTGGAAGGCATTAGTTGCCTCCTTCCAAATTGTGATACTATAAGGATCAAATTCTTATTTCTGTCATTCCTATACTCTGATGCTTTAACCAACACACTGGTCTATATAGCACCACTATTTTTTTTTCTTCTTCCTTTAACAGCATCAGGAGACTTTGGATCCCTTGACCATGCTGCTTCTCAAGACCATACAGAAGAACTGGTAGATTTGCCAGCTGCAGAAGAAAAGACAGAGACCCAGGTGCCATCTGCACAGCATGTGGAAAATGCAGTGGTGAGGCCATCCACTAAATACATATGGGAAGTGGGTCCTCAAAGTATTAGCTCGTGACTATAGTTTGAGGGAACAGAGCATGATGTATATGTGGCTGGAGAACAGGAACCTTGCCAGATATCCCAAAGCCTGTATTAACTGGTGCTACTCTGTCTGGTGCATAGTAAGTAAGGCAACTTCTGTAATCTGTGTTTTCCATAATCTCTAAGGCATCATACTATACTGGCTAGCATGTGGGAGTTGTAGTCTTGAGGACATGTGGTTGTGGAAAGCTGTGGTTAGGGATGCACAAAAATTGCTAATTGCTGTATATATCCTGAAACTTCAGAATGGAAAAATGGAGAGTGTGAGAGATTCATAGGAATATCGGATGCTGCTGTATATCTCACTGCTTACTAAATACTATCTGTGCCTGTTGGGTTCTTAGTTGCTTGGGTGGAACAAAAAGATTTGACAAGGCATCTTTGTTTATTTGAGACAATCTGTGGAGCAGATAAAGCAGAGGAGACCAATAAAGTTGCAGTGCTGAATGAGACCTGATAGTATAGCTCTCCAGGGCTCCTGTCACCTGCTACTTGATCTTTTTAATGGGTGCTACTGGGAATTGAAACCAGGACCTCCTGCTTGCAAAGAAATTGCTGTGCTGTAGGGCTACAGTCCCTTCTCTTAAAAGGGATTTTAAGAGAGCCGCCTTCATTCCTCAAGAGCACACATGGATTTACACAGAACAAGGACACATCAGTGAAAAGGAGAAATTATGGGAATGAAAAATAGACATAGGCCTGGTTTGTGTAAGCCCTGTGATTCCTGCTTCCCTGTGGATCTATCCCACGATGCTCTAGTGATGTAAAAAATAGCAGGATTAGAAGGAGGGCATAAGATAATGTGGGATTTGATTTTTTATTTTTATATTTGTATGGTCACCCATCTTACCAGACATGACTCTGGGTGGGATACAATAAAAAAACATAAAAAGACAGCATTAAATAACATTCCACAATTAAAAAACATTAATATTGTTATTAAAAGGCTAGGAGAGAGCATGAGATTTACAAACAATGTAGCCTCTTCATTAAATCGCCATTTCCTTGAGACCCCCAAGTCTGTGACGCAGCCAAGTTTTGAGGGACTTCTGGAAGGTGCTGTTTTGTCAGCACCCACTATAAGATGGGACTGGGATTCACGTGTGGCAAGAGTGGGGGTGAGGGTGAGCCACGTTATGTTGGAAAAGGCACTGGGGAAATAAGCAGTTTGACAACCAGAGTCCAGATTGTAATGGCAGAGGGTATTATACTTTCCCAGTGACATGATATCAACTTCTGAGGGTGAGTAAAATGTGTTATCCCTCCCCCATAGCAAAACTCCCTTGAGAAAGACTACCTGTCCTTGTAGCATAGTTTACAGTTACACATGGATAAGTTAGTAAATCTGTCTGTTGGCAATACGCCATAGCAGCAGTACTGGAATATCAATATAAAACAAAATCTGAGAGTAGCCCTTGCATAGGTACACTGTGTACAGATCTAATTTACTGTGTGAAAAAGTAACTGTCTATAAAGACCTTAGAAATGTAGTATTCACATAGTTACCAAAGGAACAATGGCCTTGGCCACATTGTCTCATTCTAGCCCTGGTATGGGGAATGCCTGGCTCTCTGTATGTTGCGCTCTAGCCCTAATCAGCCTCAGCCAGCATAACCAGTAGTAAGAGGTGATCAGAGATGTAATCGAACGTTGAAGGGCCATAGATCCTCTTTCCCTGTTTAGGTCAACTCTATCCTCTTGCAAAGTCTTTTTAAAAGGATTAGCTAGTATCTAGAGGAGCAAACTCTTCTGTTGTTTATGCATGTGAAGTTCAGTGAAGGTCAGCAGCTCCCTCTATGTTCTCTATCTTTATGGAAGCATCCTTTGTGACTAAGATAGGTGGGTGCCATTTTTATTCTCTAACTAGTCTTACCTGTTGCCACTACTCGGTGTTGATTGCTATTCACGTTCCAGAGAGAAACTGCACATTCTAGTCTCAGCTGCGGAAGGCTCAGAATAAAATGAAATCTTCTTTGGCTACAGTTGTTTGGTTTTACTCCTACTATTTGGATTGGCTGGTTGACTGACTAATTCTGATCAGTGCCTCCTCTTGCCAGGTTCTACCTTCCCAAGCCCAGAAAGCGCAGGTGGCTGTTGTCAAGACCAAAAGGAAGAAGGCCAAAGGGCTCTTTGGCTGATGCAACTGATCCTTTTACAAAAACAGAGGTGTTGATGCTGTCCTGAACTTCCCTTTGTCTTCTTGGAACATCTAGAAGAAAGCTGGATTCATACTGAAGCTCACAGTTGTGTCACTCCACTCATTTTGCCACATTAAACATGATGGTTGGGAACATTTCCATCTGCACCAGAACTATCTACTTTTCTCCCCCTGCTTATTCTTTCCTGCTGACCCAGAAGCTTAGAGATGATGAATTATTAGGTAGAAGGAAGTGAACGGAGCTACATTCTGTATTTTGCTTTATTAAAGTGTGAATAAAGAACTTGGCTATAAGATGATTACTCAGTGCAGTGATTTCCATACATGCACTTTGTAATACATAGGCTATCCTTAAAATGTGTCTGAAAATTGCAATTAGTGAAAAATGTGTCAATTTCTTTATTTCAATCAGTGTTCAGAAAATTATATAATATGTGGCAGCCAGGGGGCTAACTGGCCCAAGGTACAGAAATTAAATGATTCCTGTTCTGGAAGATCTGCTCTGGCTGCCAAATGCACATTGGACACAATTTAAATATGGGAGTTGATCTTTAAAGGGCTAATTCTGTGACTGCCACTTACAGTATGAACCTGCTCAGTTACTGAGAGAAGACAAAAGAGGTCCCTTTGAAGATGCCTCCCCCCCACCGCCCTAGAACCTAACTATCTTCCTATGCAGGATAGGGACTTCTCCTGTGTGGCTTCAGGGCTTTGGAAAATTATCTCAAGGTGGTAGACTTGACCTCCCATTCTCTCAGTATTTAGGACATGGCAAAAACAACTCTTTCATCAAGTTTGGCATTGCTAATTGATTTTAGCTATGTTAGTTTTTATTTTAATTGCATTGATTTTACTGTCATGTTTTATATCTGTATTTTCTTTTGATTATTATAAGCTGCCTTGAATACTTCTGTACTGTATGCACTCTGTCTTACAATAATGCAGAATTTCATGCATAAGAAAAATCTACTGTAACCCACTGTGATGCAAACTTACAGCCTTCCTGGTGGTAGAGAAGAGATCAACAGCATATGGATAATGCATATCAAAGGGAGCATGGGTTGGGTTCTGCTCTCTGCTTCACTGGGTCTCCTATCCTTCACGGTTTTTAACTGATATTATCCTTTCTTCTCAGTCCTGAAGTGGTAGCTCGCTATGGGTCTGTCGCAGCACACAGTCTTATGGCAATTTATGAACTAGGGAGTAAGCAACCAAAAGGCTATAAACTGCAGGGTATCCCCCAAGCATATTTGATAGAACCTACAGCATCACCAGATCACACTTCAACATTTGGCAGTAAAACTGTCAGTTTCTGTGGTGATTTTCCATTGTTTGTTTGCATTAAAAAGTGTAAAATAGGCATGCAGACCCTCAAAAAGAGATTGATTGATTGATTGATTGATTGATTGATTGATTGATTGATTGATTGATTGATTGACATCAGGCTGGTGTTGACTCTTAATGACCACATAGGTAGATCTCCAGGATGATCTGTCCCAAACCTGCCTCTTCAGGTCTTCCAACAGTGCACTCATCACCACTGTATTAGGGTTTATCCACTTTGCTGTTAGTCATCCTCTTTCTATCTTTCTTTCTACCTTTCCCAGCATTATGGACTTCTCAAGAGAGCTGGCTCTTCACTTAATGTGTCCAGAATAACCCTCAAATGAGCACTCTGAATTTATTTGTTCTCTGATAAATTTGTTTCTTTACCTGGCTCTCTATGGTATTCTCGGGAGTCTTCCTCAATAACAAAGGTCAAATCTGTCAATACTCCTTCTATCCTGCTTCTTCAAAGTCCACCTTTTGCTTTCATAGAATCACAGAAAAAAAAAACACAGCCTCCATGATAGTGATCTTTCTCAGTAGGTGTATGTATGTATATGTGTGTGTGTGTGTATAAAATGACATTTGAATATCTTTTCCAAGATCTTCATTGCTACCTTACTAAGTGCTAGTGTGCAGCACCCTACTTGACTGTTACTTCCTTACTGCTGATAGCCAGTCCTAAAAAGCAGAAGCTATTTCAATATCTTCATTGTTGATTCTAAGGTTGGTTGCTGTACCTGCCTTAGTTTGTAATTAGTTTGGTTTTCTTTATATTTGTTCACAGTCCCATTTTTTTTCACCATGCTTCTTGACTTTAATTAGAGCTTGCAGATCATTTGTATTTTCAGCTATCTGAGTGGTGCCATCAGGATAGTGCAAGTGACTAATGTTTCTTCTTCCAATTTTAAAACCACACTCTTCCTCCAATTCAGCCTCTCGCAATATATATTCAATACATCGGTTGAATACATGAGGATATACAGCCTTGTCTCTCTCCTTGCTGACCTGGAGCCAGTCTCTTTTGCCATGTTCCATTCAGACTATGGTTTCCTGTCCTATGCATAGGTTTTGCATGAGGGCAGTTACGTACTTTGGGATTCCCATTGCATGTTGCTAAGGATATTCCACAGTCTAACACAGTTGATGCAGTCAAAGGCCTTTCTATAATCAATGAAGCATGTATTGATTTCTTTTGGGCATGGCTGTCTCAATTATTCAGTGTGCATCACTATATGCAGTGATGCAGCACTAGCTACAATGTCTTGTGTTCCTCAGCCTTTTCTAAAACCTGCTTGAATATCTGGCACTTCACATTCTATGTAGAGTTCTAATCTGCATTGGATGATCCTAATCATTATTTTGCTAGCATGTAAAATCAAGGATGGGGGATGCGGTGGCGCAGCGGCTTAATGACGCTGAAAGTTGCCAGCCAGAAATGGTCG